TTTTTTTGGCAGAACCAGGGATTGAACTCAGGCCCTTGCACTTGTCAGGGAAGCGCTTATTCCACTGAGCCATCTCCCTGGCCCCTGAACAATCTTTTAATTCATTAAAGGCAGTAGTCATTTTTATAAACTTTCTTCCACTAATCTCAATTTTTTACAGGTCTGACCTCTGGCCTATAGTTCAGACCACAAAAGTTCTTTGTTCTTTTCTTTTTTGTACCAGAGCTAGGACTCAGGACTTTGTGCTTGCCACGCAGCTACTTAAGCCGCTGAGCTATCTCGCTGGCCTCAGACAACGTACATTCTTAATTTCTGGTTAGAAATTAAACATTATAGGAATTTTTCAAATGGTATTACTCTAATTGCTATGGCTCAATATACTGATAATTTCTTTAAAAGAGAACATGCTGTTCCAAACAGAACCTATATTGTATCTTTTTCTTTGACACCAGAATTTTGAAAGATTTTCTGAAGACTTGGCCAGCATTTTATAGGTCTGTTTATTAATCCTAAACAGGGAAAGAACTTTCATGGATGCTGTTTTATGGAACAAATATGTCTTTCATCGTCTCTTTACATATACTTATATATTTTCTTTTCCCTTTAGGGAGACCTGGTGTACGTGAATTATGCTCGGACTGAGGACTTTTTCAAACTAGAAAGGGAGATGAATATCAACTGTACTGGAAAGATTGTTATTGCCAGATATGGGAAGATCTTCAGAGGCAATAAAGTATGGTGGTGTCTTTCTTGAGGAAAGAGGGAACAGACAGCCTAAATATATGATGAACTCACTTCAGTAGTTCCCCAAATTGCTTTAGCAGTTCTTTTCTTTTTTTTTCCACAGCTGATTAATAGGACAGTTTTGATAGTCAATACACTGTAGAAGTTATTTTCTGAAAAAAAAAAAAAAAAAAAGAAGTTATTTTCTTTGCTGTTCAGAGCAGCTGGACCAAAATCCATTTTGTGTTCCTTCATAGATCAAAAAGGAAATTATTTTTATTATAAAAATAATGTTTCCTTTTAAAAACTTTAATGGAAAGAAATTTATGCAAACTGCAAATGAAAATCTCCCTCAGCATTACCCAGTCTCCTTGCCCAGATTTAATCAATGTTGATAGTCTCTCCCGATCTAATTCAATATAATAAGACTATATCTGGATGCATCTACATTATACATGTAAATGTAGTTACTCTTGTGTTAAAAGAGAGGTCATTGTATGCCGCATGGCATGTGAGATTATGTTCGCGCTCAGCCATGGATTATGGGTCATCTTTCGTGAGCACGTGGACAACGGTAGAGCATCACGTGGTACTGAAGACTCTGAGAGCGTAGATCCATACCGCTTGGGTCTACTCAGGGCCTCTGATCTCGAAAGCTTTTACTGTGAGCAAGTTCCTTAACTTGTACTATAGTTGCTCCACATATAAAATGGAAATGCTTACTAATAGCTTAATAAGGCTTAATAATAGAATCAATCACATAGAATCGCTATCAGGATTAAATGACTATGCTTGAAAATGCTCAGGAGAGTGGCTGCTATCAGTGATTTTTGTACAGCTGCTTATTAAATACTTATCTAATTTAAATGGTTACAAAATATTTTGTAGAACTGATAAACCATTTATTTAACTATCTCCATTGATGGATGTTTATCTTGTCTTGAATGTATTACTACAATTTCCTATTTCCACACTGAACATTTTTTAAAAAAATTTTATGTATTTGGTATAGGGTCTCACTGCGCAGCTTGGATTTGTGGTGATCCTCCTGTTTTTTTTTTTTTTTTTCCAAAGTTTTATTGATAAACAGATAACAATGAGACAGTTTCAAATCAAAGATCCTCCTGTTTCAGCCTCCCCAGCGCCGGGATTACAGCTGTGCGCCACCATGCCCACTTTCGGTGGCCAGCTTGGCATGCCCAGTTTTGGTGGCTGGCACTGCATGTGGTGCCGGGGATTGAACCCAGGTCCCTTGCCAGGCAGGTGCTTAGACCGCAGAGCTATCTCCCACTCAGGCCCCCACTGTGAACATTCTTTTACACATATACTTCATGCATTTGTGTGAAGATTTTTTGCAGTATAGATTTTCAGAAATAAAGTGACTGAATCCTACTATATATTCTTTCAAAATTTTGGTAAAGACAGTCAAGTTGACCTTCCAAACAGTTGCAAGATCTACTTCTACTGCCACAGCTGAGTGGTTTCTGAACACTGTCATACTTCTTAGTGCGTCAAGACGGATGTGTACTGGTTTTTTGCTACAGTGCTTCTGATAATGAAGAATTTAGTATTTTATAAGAAATATTTTCCTGTTCTTGACCACCTTGGATTTTTAGCAAGATGCCTACAACGATGCGTTAGGCAATTTTTCACATACTAAGAATGTTCTGTATAAAATTTCAAATCGATTTACTTACACGGATATTTGTGAAGTGCTTACTTTATGATGTGTGAAGCTTTGAAGGGCTAGTAGTTAAACGTGAGGAAGGCATGGTTTGTGTTTTTAGTACTCCCTCCATATTTAAAGGAGACACTCACAAGATACTTGAGGGCTGGAGAGATAGCTCAGCAGTCTAAGCACCTGCCTGGCAAGGGTAAGGACCTGGGTTTGATCCCTGGTACCACAGCTGTGCAGGCCTCCGAACCTGGGTGTGGTGGTGCATGCCTGTAATCCTTGTGCTGGGGAGGCTAAGACAGGAGGATCACTATGAGTCTGAGCTGTGCAGCAAGATCCTGTACCAAATAAATAAAGATTTTTAAAAATTAAAAAAAAAGATATTTGACTACACTTTGATCTATCCTATGATAAAAATGCATAAAAACAAGAAGTACAAAGAAAAAATAAAATAGGAGTGTTTTATAGAAAAGGTAACTTGTTTAGAGTTTTGTAAAGTAAATGAGTGTTTGCTAAGTGAAGAGGAAACTTTTCAAAGCAAAGACAACTGAGCATGTGATGTCAAGATAGAAAGGAATGTGAATTATTTTCTCTCCATTCCCCCTTTCCCCTCCTGCCCTCCCTCTCTTTCTTCCAAGGCAGAGCCTGGCTATTTAGTTCAGACCAGGTCTGATCCCCGGTACCGCATGCTGTGCAGCCCCCATTCCCCACGCCTCAAGCTGGGTGTGGCGCTGCACGCCTGTAATCCTAGCACTGGGGAGGCTCATGCCCCAAGCACTGCTCTTGTCTCAGCCTCCCAGGCACTGGGATTACAGGACTGCACCATCGCACCTGGCTTTCTTCACATTATTAAGTTCTTTTTTTACATGAATAAGCCAGTCATGTGCCGTGTCTTTTATGGGTTCACATCGCTCTTGCAGGTTAAGAATGCCGTGCTAGCTGGGGCCATAGGGATCATTTTGTACTCAGATCCAGCTGACTACTTTGCCCCTGAGGTGCAGCCCTATCCCAGGGGATGGAACCTTCCTGGAGCCGCAGCCCAGAGAGGAAACGTTTTAAGTTTGGACGGAGCTGGTGACCCGCTCACGCCAGGCTACCCAGCCAAAGGTAAGGGATGAGCCCACGGCACTACCGCTTCTGCAAAATCTCTTCTTGCTCTGTTAGGTTCCAGAAAAGCCAACATCTCTACAGTAAATTAAAATTAAAATTGTGTGCACGTATACAATTTTGGATGCTATGGCTAGGCATTGATTATTATTTTAGTTTTAAAGTTTCATGATACAGTGATATACAAAAGGGATATTTCTTCTTTTATGTTTAGTAAAGAGGTTCAGAAAATTGATTTTTGTACCCAAAGTGATAATTGGTCTTAACATGGCTTAGATTTTGTAACATTTGGAATTATTCTTTAGGCCATGCATTTCTGTTCTTAAAAATACCAATGGATCAGGCCGGCGAGATAGCTCAGCGGACTAAGCACCTACTTTGGCAAGCACAGGGACCAGGTTTCAATCCCTGGTCCTGCATGCCGCGCTGGCACCACCAGTGTGTGCTGAGTGACAGAGTCCAGGCGTGGTGGTGCACGCCCATAATCCCAGCGCTGGGGAGGCTGAAAACAGGAGGATCGCTACTAGTCTGAGCTGCATAGTGAGACCTTCTACTAAATATACAAATGAAAACCAAATCAACAAATAAAAAGAAACAGTGGATCGTTTATTTATTTATTTGGGTTTTTTTTTGAGAGAAGCCAGCTTTGAACTCACGATGTAGCCCAGGTTGGCCCTGCATCCACAGCGATCCTCCTGCCTCAGCCTCTGGAGTGCTGGGATTGCAGGTGTGTGCCACCATGTCCACCTTTTAAAGATATTTTGAATCCTGGGACAAAACAGTTGTTTTACTTTTTGGGGACTTTTAATTTCTGTATTATTGCAAGCATGTTGAAAATTTCTAACAGTGACAAAAGAAATTTCAGATTCTTGCTCAGATTCTTTAATTATTTTTGTTTGCCCTTGATCTTTGCAGAATATACCTTCAGATTTAATGTTGAAGAAGCAGTGGGAATCCCCCAAATTCCTGTACATCCTATTGGATATAATGATGCAGAAATTTTATTACGGTATGATTTTTAATTGGATAGGAGAATAAAAATTTTACACGAAGATTTTTTTCTAATCTAAAATAAGTATAATCCAATTATGTTAAAGATAAAAATCTTACCTTAAAGGAATTTCATATAGTAATAATACAGCACACTCATTTTTCTTTTCTTTTTTTTTTAATGTATTTTAGTACAGGGTCTGCAGGGTCTCACTACACAGATCAGACTCTTAGTGATCCTCCTGTTTTCAGCCTCCCAAGCGCAAGGATTATAGGTGCGTGCTGCCACGCCCAGTCTCAATCGCCCTCTCAGCTGGTCCCCAGGGTGGGGCTGGCACAGCACACCAAGGATTGAACCCGGTCCCTGTGTCTGCCAAAGCAGGTGCTTTAGTCTCCTGAGCTATCTGGCCAGCCCTAGAGCACACTCATTTTTATTTATTTTATTATTATTATTACTATTTTGTATTGGGAATTGAACTCAGGGCCTTGTGCTTTCCAGGCCGGTGCTGTGCTGCTGCTGAACTATCTCCCTGGCCCCAAACTCATTTTTAATCAAAAGAAAAGTTAGTTTAATGACTAAGAAATAATAATAAAACAGTGCTGTATTTGCTGTCAATGAAATTCTGAAATGCAATACTGTATCCAAATATAGAAGTACTGATTTGAGACTTTTTCCAAGTAGTTGGATTTTCAAGCCGGGCATGGTGGCGCATGCCTGTAATGCACTCAGGAGGTTGAGGGAGGTGGATCATTGCGAGTTTGAGACCAGCCTGGGATAGAAAGTGAGCTCAAGGCCAGCAGAGCTGCAAAGTGAGACCGTCTCAAAAAAACTCAAAAAAGTCAGAGTTATCCAAGTAGTTGGATTTTCTTAGATATTCATACCTGAACTATAGTTTAGAAGGATTTTTTTAAAAATTTTTTTGGGGGGTAACTCAGTATGCCTTAAGGGCATGTCTGGTAAGGCATGAGGATCTAGGGATCGAACCACAGTATCCTGAGCCTCCGAACTATAGTCTAACAATGTGCTCCTGGGCTACTTTACATAATCATTCAATTGCCTTATGTGTATGTACAGTGAGGACAGTGGGGTGCCGCTGTGACAGAGCCATTATCACATCATGAGAGTACAGTGTTTAGAATCCAATGAATGCTCAGTAGTGCTTGCTGTCACTGTATTTTATACATAGACTATATATAGTATACATTGTGTATATATGTTATATTGTATATATTACACATTTCTGTATATATTTCCCTTACACTTTCATTTAAAATTTTTTAAATATTTATTTATTTATTTGGTACTGAGTCTCGCAACACAGTTTGGGCTCATAGTGACCCTCCTGTCTCAGCCTCCCCAGCACTGGGATCACAGGCATGTGCCACCACACCAGGTTTCGGTGGCCAGCATGATACACACGGGGTGGGGCTGCCATGGCATGCTGTACCAGGGGTCAAACCTGGGTCCTTCACTTGCCAAGCAGGCGCTTAGACTGCACGGCTCTCTCCCCAGCCCTACACTTCCATTCTTTTAAGTGATTGTACCAGAGCAACTTACTTCTTTCTATATTAATTTCTTCCTAAAATAGTCATGCATTTCCCATATTTTGGATTTCTTCAATTCACTGCTTCCCTATATGAATAACTATGGTTAGGCCTAGTGCTTCTCACCAGTCCCTGTTATTTTATTTTTCTCCTTAGCTCTTATCACTGATACACAGTATACTGTATTACATTTGTTATTTGTATGTTTCATTCATGGTTCACTTACTAGAAAGTAAGTTCTAGAAGGGAAACTTGGGGATTCTGGAGACAAAGTCTTGCTGTATGGTTAAGGCTGGCCTTGAGCTCACTGTGTAGCCCAGGCTGGCCTCAAATGTACAGCAGTCCTCCTTCCTCAGCTTCCTAAATTCTGGGATTACAGTCATGTGCCCCATGCCCGGGAAGGAAAAGGTTTGTTGAAAAATTGTTTAACAAATAGCTTTTAGATGTAGAGCAAGATATTATCATCAACTTCATAATTTTCTTCCTGGAAATGGTGATGTTCAGGCTCTTTCTTTTGTTTCATTTCTCTTGGCAGCCACTTGGGAGGGCTTTCACCGCCAGATGAGAGCTGGAAGGGAAGGCTTAATGTTACTTACAATGTTGGGCCTGGCTTTGCAGGGAGTAATTCTCTGAGGTAATTTTACTTTACTGTAATTGCCTAAAAAAGTCCTATAATTCATCAGAAAAATGTCAAGATAACTATTCTATCAGGTATACTTTGTTTATCTTTTACTTGTGAACAATTGTTTTATGTCACTGAAGTACTTACAGAAAGAAGTATTGAAATAGTCTTGTAGTGCTATTACAATAATCATTTCAGAGTGTCAAAAATTTTATTTGCTGTTTAGGCTCAACAATTCAAACATTAACTTTTTAAAACTTCACTCTTCACCTAAAATCTGTACTAATTTGTCCAATACTTTGTTGTTTTTTTTTAACCCCCGCGGAACCGGAGATTGAATTTAGACCCTTGTGTTTGCCAGGAAAGCGCTTATTCTACTGAGCCATCTCCCCAGCCCCACTGTCCAATACTTTGTAGTGTCTTACATGTGAGTTTAAATCAAGAGAGAGGGCAGAAGAAAAAGGAGCCAATAGTTGTTTACTGACTCTGTGGATTAAATGGGGTCAAGTGAATAAATAAGGTAGCTACAAGGCATAGTAGACTCACCATTAGAGCCGGTATTGGGTTTTTTTTTTTTTAAAACACATTAAAGCACTATTGGAGATGAGGAATGCTTATAGAAAAAGACTCTGTTGAGGTTGGTGTCCAGAACTCGTGGAAGCTCTCCCCCTGCGGGAAGGAAGGCAGGGTCGACTTCTAGCCTTGTGAAGGAGCAGGACATACTTAGAACTTTAGGAAGTTTGACTTACCTGACATGTTGGCACAATGGGAAGGTAACCCTGATAAATCTGAAAAGATATAGCTGTTTTTATTGAATAGTTGTTTGTTTTTTGTATTTTAGGGAAGGGTCTTACAGGGTTGTTCAGGGTCTCACTACTAGATCGGACTAGTGATCTGCCTGTTTACAGCCTCCCAAGAACTGGGATTACAGGCATGCACCACCAGGCCCAGTCTCAACTGCAGTCTCAGCATGCTCGGGGGCAGGGCTGGCACAGCAGGCCCGGGGATAGAACCCCTAGCCCCTGAGCCTGCTTGCAGGTGCTTTAATCCGCTGAGCTATTTGGTTGGTCCTCTGACATAGCTGTTTTTATTAAAATGAGGTTGTTGGTTTTTCTTTTTCTTTTTGTTTTGTGACTGGCTCAGCCCACTCTGGGGGGCAGGGCTGGCACAGCATGTGGTGCTGGGAATGAAGAGCAGTCCTTGTGCGTCCCTGCACACTTCCCTAAGCTTATCTAAGCAGGTGCTTTAGACCACTAAGCCATCTCACCGGCCCCTAAAATGAAATGATTGGATTAGTCTTGTTTCCTAACAGTTTATTGTAATTCTATGAGCTTTCATTCTTTAGAGTGCTTCTTAGTTCCTGAAATTCTTTCCATTCCAGAATATTTAGTATCAGAAATCCAGTTTATTTTATAGGAATTGTATAAATATTTGCATAAGTGTTTATGTCTATAATTTAATCAAAACAGGACCTTTAAAAGGATTGTTATTTCTACTCTAAAGAGGAAGGAAGTCAGAGCATACCCATTGAGCAAAATGTGAAGGCCTTCGTGCCTGACAATCAGAAGCACACAGGCGCAGAGAGAACACACAGGCTCTGCTGTGTAATTTCAGTCGTTGCTCAGGAGTCCACGTGGAACCAGAAACTCCCACTCTAGACGTCAGAGAGCTGTTCTCCTTTGCTGTGGGCATGATGTTCTTGACTGATTGGACCACAGAATGGACAAATGCATACTAAACAGCAAAAACAAATATGGAAGAAAAGATCCTGTTTTTTTTTTTTTTTTTTTAATTTTATTTATTTATTTATGTGTGTGTGTGTGGCCAGCTCAGCCCACCAGGGGGCAGGGCTGGCTGGCATGTGGTGCTGGGGGATTGAACCGCGGTCCCTGTGCTTTGCTAAGCTCGTTCTAAGTAGGTGCTCCAGACCACTGAGCCATCTCACCAGCCCCGTGTTTTTGTTTTTTAACAAGAAAGAAGAAAATGCCGTTTTTTTAAAGCCGAGGGGGTTCCCTTCTCATAGAGCCCATGAGCTCCAGGGACCCGTAAGCAGAAAGGCTGACTGAGCGCCCACTCCTGGAAAGTGAGCACCTGTATTCTCTTGATGACAACAACAGAGAGAAACTAGCTAGCAGGGCAAGCCGTTAGCAGAGGGGTAAAGCAGGGAACGGACGGCAGGATCCTGTCTTGTCTGGCACGCCATAGTGATCTCGACAATCTATTAATACTTTTGGAGAGATTCCCAAAGTATTAGACCGTAGCTGAATTCCTTTCCATTGTCACCAATGAAGAAAAAACTTACTCTTGCTCCAAGCAAAGGAGAAATATAAATAAAACACAACATCAGTAGAAAAGACGTGACGCTCAACATAGAGAGTGGTGGCAAAGTTTTACCTCCAACAGCCCAAGGAGAATATGGTGAATGGGTTTAAACTAATACAGTAAGAGGGTTTAAACTACCCTTTGCAGATTCTGCAAGATAAATATATTGGATGTCCCAGAGGGCCCTCCCAAAGTGATAAGGACAATTTAAAAAGGATTATCATAGACCATCATATAAAATGAACCTGTGTTGCAGATTTCATTTACCTTATTAACTTAGTTATTATCTAAGTATTGTTATAACTATATTATATTATAACTAATTTTATTATAATTAACTAGTTATTATCAACTAATTATTAGTGCAGTTCCTTGCTATAGGGCCAAGAAGGATGTAAAGGGGGCTTGTGGGTTAGTACAGTTGTTTAAGTGCCTGCTGTCACCAAACCCAGTCATGTACAGGGGACCGTGGTTCGATCCCCAGCTCCCCATGCCTTACCAGACCCACCCTAAAGGCAGCCTGAGCCAACCAAAAAAAAAGGAGGATGTTAAAACTGGTTCAAAGGAAGATTCAAAGATGATACTAAGGGCTGGGGAGATAGCTCAGTAGAATAAGCACTTTCCTGGCAAGTGCAAGGTCCTAAGTTCAATCCCTGGTACTGAAAAATAAAATAAAAAAGATGATACTAAAAATGTCACCTCATTAGGGACATCAAAGTAAATGTGTGTGTCAGAAAAATGGCTCCTTCCACAGTAGGGGAGGGATCTTAAATGAATCTTGACAAGCTACCATTTTATTGGATATGAGTTATTGTTACTACCATTTGCAAGTTAATGTCTGTCTCTACGGACTTGTAAAACAGTCTAGTCAAAGACAAGAAAAAAGAGAAGTAATCCTGATGAGTGAGGTAGGGTGTTTCCTGGCTCTTCTTTCTTGGAGTGCACGTATCCACCCCACAGATATTCATTATTACTGTTTACTATAGCCAACGCCCCATTCTAGGGTCTGGGTGTTCAGTGGTGAAAATAATTTAGGGAAAAATAAAATCCTGTGCTATGGAATCTGTATTCTAGATTTCAGTTTCTTTGGAAGACACTGAATTTGAAGTGGTAATGAGATATTTTTTCCAGACAATTCTGGATTTCGTATAAATGCTTAAAACTTATAAGATATTAGAATTAAAAATTTGAATGATCTTTTGTAGAATCTGCACAGACAGCCTATGTTTATTTTCAGGTTTAGTTTTAACAGGTTTTTTTTTTTTCTCTCATTAATCTCTCTTACATTATTCCTTATGATTTTTCTATTTATTTATTTAGAGACAGGATCTTGCTAGGTAGCCCAGGCTGGCCTCGAACCTGTGAAAATCATCCTCTCTCAGCTTCCCTAGCTCTGGGATTAAAGACATGTGCCACCATGCCAGGAACTCATGCATTCTTATTTTTTTTTTTTTTATATTTTTCATTTGAAAGTAGTCTTAATGCAATTAAATTCACAAATATGCAATACCCAATCCTAATTTCCTTAATTTAGTGACAGTGTCAGTTAATTAAGGTAGATCTTAAGCTCCTATTTTTTAGAAACATGCTATACAATGTTTCTGTATTTACATTATTAATATTTTTGGGGGGCCTTAGGGGTTGAACCCAAAGTCTTGCCATGCTAAGTGCATGCTGTAGCACTGAGCTATACCCTCAGTTCTTTTTTTTTTTTCCCAGAACCGGGGATTAAACTCAGGCCCTTGTGCTTGCCAGGCAAGCGCTTATTCTACTGCGCCATCTCCCTGGCCCTTACCTTCAGTTCTTTGTTAACATTTATCTGTCGGTAGCACAAATAAATATTTTACTGAATGCCTTTAAAATGAAAACAAAACTACCTGTTAATCACAGTCATCATTCAATATGGCGGCGCTCAGTGGCAGTGTGAACTGTGAGGAGTTGGCTGAGTTCCAGGAGTTATCCAAGGTGATGAGGACAATTGATGACAGAATAGTACATGAATTTAAGGCTCCGGTTCCAACAGCTTCCTTTGCAGGGAAAATTGATGCCAGTCAAACTAATAAACAACTGTAGGAGTCTTTGGTGGCAGGGTCGTGCCAGTAGGGACAGAGTCAGAAAAAATTGTAGAGCCCAGACTTCAGCAGTAGTAAAAATCCTCCGGGAAGAAAGAGGGAAGAATTTGGATGATTTAAGGTTATTAAAGCAGCTTAGTAAAGGGCAGATGAAATTGAAATGGATACAGCTAGAACTGAATGTTGAAGAAGTGGTAAATGACAGGAGCTGGGAGGTATTTAATGAACGCTGCCAAATTTACTTTAAGCCTCCAAAGACCGAGTAAAGAAAAACTGTTTTCAAGGACTGGGTTATCTCCCGGGAGCTGAGCACAACAGAGCCAGCGGGATGGGCTTCCCCAGGACAGTATCTGGGCCACAGTCCAAGGCCTCGTATTGATCTCAACCCCATCTACCCGGAACTTCATGTCTGTGTAATTCTGATAATTATGAAATAATCAAACTGCTATTTTATACTGATTATGTAAAGAACATTTTATAACTATCAAAGTAATTTTCTGAAAGAAAAATCACAGTCACCCATTATGTAGTCTTCAGATGATTTCGTGGCTGAGTGCACAGACTTAAACCCGTAAGGTGGTTTACGTCCATCACCGATCACTAGACGTGACCTCTCTTCTTCACAGCACTGCATATCGAACCCAGGGCCTCACGCCTTCGATACGGGCTCTTGACATGATCAGTAAATGCAGCACATACGTGATGTCGGGGCAACTGCCAACTGACCATTATATACCATTTTGTAGTAAACTCTTTAATAAGTAGGTATATACCCTAAATGCATGGTAAAAATCCTTATATTATGTACTAGACATAATTTTGTTTTATATTTTTATATAACTGGCAGGGAAGAATTTTTTTTTTTTTAATTTATGTATTTGGTACAGGGTTTCACTGTGCAGCTTGGACTCGTAGTGATACTATTTTCAGCCTCCCCAGCACTGGGATTCCAGGCACGTGCTACCACTCCCAGGCTTGTCACCGGCTCAGCATGCCTGGGGGTGTGGTCAGGGTGGTGTGTGGTATCCCAGATAGACTCCCAGTGCCTGTGCTTGCCTAAGGAGGCGCTTAGCCTGCTGAGCTCTCTCACCCACCCTGTCAGGGAAGGTGTTTGCTTACACCAGTGCTACCGCAGATTTGGGGGCAATGCGTGATGCTACGATACCACAGCAGCTACAGTGTCGTGAGACAGAATTTGTAAGCTGCACTACTTTGTGTGTGTGTGTGTATTTTAGGGAAGGGTCTATAGAGTGTTCAGGGTCTCACTACTGGATCGGACTGGTAGTGATCTGCCTGTTTACTCTGATAGTGATCTACCTATTTGCAAATCCTCGCAAGAGCTGGGATTCCAGGCTTGCGCCACCATACCCAGTCCTAATTGCCGTCTCAGCGTGCCCAGGGAGCATGGCAGGCCTGGGATCGAGTCTCCGGCCCCTGCGCCTTCTTGCAGGCGCTTTATGCACCACATTCTTATGACCCATCTTATATGTGGTCTGTTGCATATAAAGCACCACTAAGCAGTGCTGTTTTTTTTTTTTTTTTTTGCTAGCTCTGGTTGCCTTCAGGGCAGGTCTGGTAAGGTTTGAGGATCTGGACTGAACCACAGCATCCTGATTGCTTTGCTTAAGCAGTCACTTAAACAACTGAACTAATGGGCAGGCTCCCAAAAGTTCAGATATGTTTGGTGTTTATTTTTATTTTTTTGTTTTTTAAAGCAGTGCTATGTATGGCTCTTATAAAGACAGCTAAATAGCAAGATTATATTTTTTCATATATTACATAATGGGCTGTCTTCATTGTTTTTGCAATTAAGAGGCATGTATTTAAAGTTTCTAGCTAGGTGTGATGTCAGACGCCAGTAATCCCAGCACTTGGGAGGCAGGAGAATCACTGTGAGTTCAAGGCCAGGCTGGGATTAAATACCAACTATGTACCAGGGAGGGAAGGAGAATATACAACATGTCAGTTATTAAGGTACACACATAAGTACTTAGGAGGAAATTGTCAGGACGGCTGCAGCTCCCTGGAAAGTGGTTAAAAAATATTAGCAATTATTGGGCCAGCCAAATAGCTCAGGGGATTAAAGCACCTCATTAGGCAGACACAGCGGCCCAGGCTCAATCCCTCCGCATGCCGTGCTGGCCCTGCTCCCGGGGCATACTGAGACTTTGATTGAGACTGGGCATGGTGGTGCGCGCCTGTAATCTCAGCTCTTGGGAGGCTGAAAACAGGAGGGTTACTATGAGTCCGATCGATCTATGTAGTGAGACCCTGTAGACCCTGTCTTAAAATACAAAATAAACAATTATTGAATTTAGATGATGGATATATAGAAATTCATTGTCTGATTGTAAAATTTTTCTTGTAGCTTTGAGATTTTACTTAATAAAAGTGGAAAGAAAACTATAAGTAAAATAGTTTACATTAAGTAATTCATTCCTTTTGAAATTCTAGAAAAGTTAAAATGCATGTTCATAACATCAATAAGATTACAAGAATTTACAATGTAATTGGAATTATTAGAGGATCTGAGGAACCTGGTGAGTTGATGAATTTTTTTAAGCATTTCATTTTTACTAAAATTAAGAGTAAGGAAAAAATTTCATTAAACAATTGATATGTTTCTGATTGATTTGAAACTGCGAAATCTAGGGGGAAGTCATACAACTCTGAAAAGTTTTATTTTATAGTCTTGCCTGTTTTTTATGAGAGAAACTCAAACCGGAGGGAGTTTAATTGAAGATGTAAATTATAAATGCTTGTCCTGTGCTTACAGTTAAAGTTCTTTTTGAACATGTTTTTTTCCAGACAGGTATGTCATTGTGGGAGGTCACCGGGACTCATGGGTATTCGGAGGTATTGACCCAACCACTGGGACTGCAGTTTTGCAAGAAATAGCCCGGAGTTTTGGACAATTGTTAAGTGGAGGTGAGTGATGCTCCTTTCGGAGGTAATGACAGGAAATGACATTATTTCACTTTGTTCTTATGCAGATGTGTCTAACTGTGTGTATGTTAATAACAACAGGCTGGAGACCGAGGAGAACTATCATTTTTGCCAGCTGGGATGCTGAGGAGTTTGGACTGTTGGGTTCTACAGAGTGGGCTGAGGTAAATGAGACAGGGAAGGTGCTGTGATTTTCTTGGTCAATAAAGAACAAGTGTGCACCCGTGTATGTGTGTATATGTGTATGTGCCTTAGGGTGATTGCGTGTGTGTGTGCG